CCACCACCACCACCTTAATCAGCCCCTGGGCCGCTGACCCGTAGACTTAGGTTGTTTTGTTCCTCTAACACCAACAGACACACAATCAAACTGAGTCAGTCACTTAACCCTTGGGATGTTAGGCTCAATCTTGACAGCTATAATCTAATCAATATTCAGTTTTAGCCCTTCTTGTCTTTCCCTGTGGCTAGTAGTAAATAGTAGTTTTAACACAATCTCAAACTTCTCTCGTTTCCCATCTCTGCCTGACCCCTTAGGCTCTTTGATGCCTCGTAGTGTGTGGGGGTGCTGGTTTTCTCTACAAAGTGTGTGGAGCACACAAATTCAGTTATCATAGCCACATTTAGCAAAATCGCAAATCCAATCTGATTCAGGTTGACAAGAAATGATTTCTATATTATTTTATATATCAAAACATAGAGCAAGAATAGCGCTGTCAATGACTTTATTTCTGTACGAATGTAGGGGCCAAATTTCACGGCAAATGCCATGGGAACGAGGTTAGCGTAGGTCGGCGAGCGACCATTTATTAACGTATTTATTATATACAGCGACAAGTCTGCGACATAATGTTTATACTGCAACAAGCTAAGCTAAGTATTATCACAATTATCTTTCAAAACTTTCTAGTGTGAGGTATTGTTGCATAAATTTTACCTCCTTCAACAATTTGTTGGATTTTGACTTTAATTTTTTGTCTGTGGACGAATTTCGAATTGCATGTACATATATTGGAACGTTTATGCCAAATGCAGCTACTAAATCAGTTTACCTTTTGTACAATGATTAATTTATGCCGCTGGATAATAAATTCACGAAATCTACATCAGTAATATCAAGTCTTTTTGCATTTCCTTTTAATCTACCTTTTCGTCTCTTTTGGGGAACTCAGTATGTCTGTTATATTTAACGCAATGACAAAGATCTTTAAGTCTGAAATCCGCATCGTAAATGATTCCACCATTCAGTGCTCAGCTAGAGATTCACGCAAACTTGCTGGTCTTGACTCTACCTCTTCATCTCGATTGACATAAGCAACAACCGTCAAAGCACCACTGCTGGGAGTGCTTCGTCTTTCAAACAGGCTTGGCACAGCTAGCGCTAACGAGGTACCGGGCAAGAAGCCTTGCGTTCCGTTATTAGGGTTCAATCTCGCTTGCAAGCCAGATGGCCTCGTCGTCGTGAACTGCGCGATTAGCGGACAGCATCTGAGCGCCACAGCACGCATAGATTTCCTCATCTCCGGGTTCCGGTAGCCGTACATCACAGGGTTGAGTGCTGAGTTCGTGTAGTGCAGCGCTTTGACGAACGCAATTAACCGGAAGAGTCCAGGAGGTTCGGGTAGGATCTCCAAATCGTACGTGGCTACCACAGTCACGACAAAAAATGGGAACCATGCGATCATGAAGACTCCCGTGACTAGAGCCACGGTACCCGCAACGCGAATTTCTCTGTGTATCGTAGCAGCTGCCAGCTCGGGGTACACTCTGGTCCGCGACCGACCAGCTGTGTCGTAGATTAGTACATACACTCCAAACATGACGATAAACGGCACAACAAAGCACAAGGCAAAGATGAATGCTGAATATCCCTGCTCCCAGTGCTTGAGTTGTATGGGATATAGTCCAGCCACAAAAGCCGAGCAAACCCACGCGACAAAGATCATCGTTCGGAAAACGCCTTCGTGGATTCCTCGGTGCCTGATCGGCCAAACTATGGCTATGCACCTCTCTAAGCTGATGGCAGTGAGTTGAAAGATCGAGGCGCATCCAATGAAGATATCGAACGTTATGTACAGTTCGTAACCAACTGGATGAAGTGTGGCATCGAAGTAATGGCAGCTATACACGTATAACCAGGCAGGGATCGATATGAGGCCCACCATAAAATCCGCTACGGCCAATCCCACTATAAATGTATTTGTGGCGGTCTGAAGTCGCCAGTTCTTCTCGAAGGCTGAAATAACCAGAGCATTACCGAATACAATTGCGATGAAAATGCAGCTGTAGTAAAATAAACTTATAACGACTTCGTAAGTTGTGAGATACTTGACGTCTATCGGGATTGGCGTTGGAGATGCGGTAACTTTTCGAAGTGTTTCGGTTGAAATGTTTGTGAGCAGAGCGGTGTGTAGAGTTGAAGAAATCGACATGGTGATAAACTTCAAGGACAAATCTGCATCTCGACGACAAACGCAGCAGACTATAAAAGCAGTGACTTGTTGAAATACCGCAGCCGCACGCACTTAATTGTTTTTGAATCCAGAAGCGCTTTTAACTGAAAATATTACAAATCTAACCAGAGATTCTTGGTAGAACTAGACGGCCGTAATTGCAAAGGATTTAGTTCTTGCTTAGAACCAACTTGTGCTTGCATAGTTTCTACTTTGTTCATTTTAAGTGCGCGTAACCTCACCTCGGGCGATGGCAAACAAAACGAGCCAATTCTGACAGATATTTATCACCTTTTAGATTCGCTTCACCAGCCCTTGTCTTCCCTATTAGGCCAAACAATGCATTCCTTTTGAAAAAGGGTTTGTTTCCATTTACCACGCGGTATGCAATCTGCATCAACAATGTATCTTTTTGTGACTTTTTTTCAGAACTCCGCGTGATAATAAAGACTTTTGTGAGTCTTTTCGGTTATTAAATTAACCGCTGGGGTTATTCACTAGTCTTGCCAAAGCAAAAAAAAGGGGGGAGAGGAAAGAAAGTTTTCTTGTTTCATGACCTAAAGCATCTATGCCAAGCTCTTTTAACTCAAACGCTTTACGATGGCCATGGGTGAATTCGGCAACGCGCACGCAACCAGGGCAAAGTTGAAGGTACCCCCTTTTGTCAGCCCTATTGTGAAGGTCTGCGCTCAAGTTAGCCATTAGACACTTCTCCGCAAGCTTTTGTCTAGCTTCTAAACGCAAACAATAACAGCCCGCCCTTGCATGTGTTGCTCTGTAAGCAAAATGATTTGACACAATGGGGAGTTAAGTTTTAGCTCCGAGTGTGTGATTATTTCCTTTCTTAATTAATATTCATTCGAATTTATAACTTAAAAAAAAATTATAAAAGTGACAAATAGTTTCATTCAATTTAATTTCTGACACCGAGAGTATATACAATCACTTTTACGTTCATTAGCTCGCATGCACCCTGGGGTTCTGAAAGTTGCTATTCCAGATTATGTTCTTTAGGTGACTCATAAGAAGAGCGATTGTTGAATCGCGAATTTAATATCAACCTATGATATTACGCGCATGCGTCTTCCACGTCTTTCCTATCGCCTAGACCCGTCTTTTCTGAATTCTTCTTCCTTGCTGCAATTTTTTTTCCCGCCAGAATTTTTTTTAGAGAAAAGAGAGTCCGTACATTTTGTGGAAGAAAATAAGTTTTAGATTCTGCCATAGATTGTTCTGAAATTTAGTCTGGCTTTCAGAAGGAAACTATATATTCTCTTGATGAAGCTCGACAGTGAAAAAGAGCATTTTTGGACTATAGCTACATGAAGATAATAGTCACTCCCATTTTACTGGAATCCTTTCACGGGCGATAGCATGAACTCCAAAAGTGAAAACCTGGAAAACGAGAGAAATTTTTATAAACCAAGAGATGGGCTCCTGTATAAATCCATTTAGTAGAAGTCAGTGCTTTCCGCAACAGTTCACTTTATAATAGCTACTTCTTGGTGTGTTAGGAGCATCCTGTCCATAAGCTGAAGTTCTTGGTCACTGTTATTTTTTTTTTGTTTGTGTTTTGCTGCACTGTTGTGTCATAGCCTGCGAAACAGTCGCATTTTTTGCGAACGCAAGCGACGGTCAATATTCGAACGAAAGGTCTGGAGAGAGTGTAAAAACGGAGAGGGAGAATGGGGAGAGACGCTAAAAAATTTTCTCGCCTCAAACGCCCTACGGGCGTGTGAAGCTCGCGCGCTTCACACGCGAGGATCGCGCCTTTCGAAAACGTCCGAAAACGACTGTTTTGCAGTCTAGTTTTGCCAATGAAAGCCAAATCACCGTGATAATCACTTATAGTGTATCTTGAAAGTAAACAATGAATGGCAAATACAACTAGCTTTGGCGGTTCTTACAAATGAATGTAAAATGAAGGTTTCAGGCAAGGATGGGGGAAGGGAAGGNGTGACAAATAGTTTCATTCAATTTAATTTCTGACACCGAGAGTATATACAATCACTTTTACGTTCATTAGTTTGCATGCACCCTGGGGCTCTGAAAGTTGCTATTCCAGATTGTGTTCTTTAGGTGACTCACGAGAAGACCGATTGTTGAATCGCGAATTTAATATCAACCTATGATATTACGCGCATGCGTCTTCCACGTCTTTCCTACCGCCTAGACCCGTCTTTTCTTAATTCTTCTTCCTTGCTGCAATTTTTTTTTCCGCCAGAATTTTCCTTAGAGAAAAGAGAGTCCGTACATTTTGTGGAAGAAAAGAAGTTTTAGATTCTGCCATAGCTTGTTCTGAAATTTAGTCTGGCTTTCAGAAGGAAACTATATATTCTCTTGATGAAGCTCGAAAGTGAAAAAGAGCATTTGTTGACTATAGCTACATGAAGATAATAGTCACTCCTATTTTATTGGAGTCCTATCACGAGCGATAGCATGAACTCCAAAAGTGAAAACCTGGTAAACGAGAGTTAGCTCTTATTAACCGAGCAGGAGGTCTGTATGGGAGAATCTTGACCGAGGTCGTGAGTACAGACCGAGGGAGTTACTCCCTATAATTGCCATCACGAGAAGGCTCCCCCCGAAAGGGATACGGTTTTCAGGCTTCAGACGCATAAGAGGGTAGGGATTATACAAATTGACGTATATGAAATGGTAGGTAAATCTGTAATTTAGTTATTTAAAAGAGCCTTTAATCAGAATATTCCAAACAGACGCACGTAATGGCTGTATCATTTCATTTATTACGCACTACACTGCATGAAAATGAGAAGAAAACTTTTTCGCCATTTTTGGCGACTAATTCATAAAACGGGCTAGTTATAAACGTATGTGAAAGGGGGTACTCTTTTCCGATTAAAGGTTTACGAAAGGGGTAACTTTTTTTGTCAAAACGGTATAAAAAAAGGGTACGGGGTTGGATCTCGGGGCGTAGCCTCCCCGTGCAGAACTTTGTAGTGTACCCCCGGGATATGAATCCGATCTTATGTGGCTGATTCTTGTTGACCAGTAGATGCACTAATCTTACTACAAGCAAAGCTATCGTACACCGCTTCAATTGGAAGTTTTGCAAGCTTCGAAGAGGAACTGTAGACAGACAGAACTTTATGACAGATAGATAGCGCTTAAACGGAACGGTCAACCCGCACTGCGCATCGAAGCTTTTTTATGTTAATCTGCAGACTACTATAATCTGTTGTTTTTGGTCTAACTCAAAGTAGTTATTTCAGTTACGGATATTAGGCGGAGACAACAACTTGGAGTGCTTCTGCCGTTGGTTCATAAGTCGTTCTTATCGGACATCTACAGGGGAAGAGGTTAAAGGTAGGCTTTCACATACAATAAATGGTGACCGAATTTTTAGACCTCTGAGCGTTCAAATTGTTTATAAAGGCAAATATAAATAGCTGCCAAGCAAAGTTCGATGAAACGATTTCGTAAGATGCGCCAGAAATGATGTGGATACAATCACTGGCGACTTACACATCATTCAGTTTTCTAGTACTGTTTTAAAATACAGACAATGTTTTCTATTTCTTTAGAGGAAGTAGGGTAACTCATAAAATTATAGTTATCCGACGGTTATCTGCCAGATAATTTCACTTCCTGATTACAAATTGTTAACGTTTACTATACTGGAAATGGAAGTGTCGAAGAAACGAAGATTGCTTAAGGAAAAAGGACTAATTAAAAACCAAATGTCTTGAAGGGGGCTTAATTATTACAGAGGGTGTTTAAAATTGGCGAAGAGGCAAAGAGACTTTCACAATGCTTACTAAAGATCGGGAAAAAATGACATAGAAAACAATGTCTTTTAAAGTTTTAAATTGAGGGTAGAAGGAGATAATGGACATTTTTGGTTCGCGAGAAATGCCTGTACCTCTCATTTCATGAAATTCACTCCAGCGCTTCTTTCCAAATGTCGGTGGTTTTTGAAATGAAACTACATTTGTTCCATACTCTGTACGCTAAGCGGGCCTACATCTCAGAGCAGGGAAGCGAATCAGTTGCTAACGTACAGCTTTTGTTTGTTGTGACACAAACTAAAGGTAATAATCAATGCCCTACTGTTTCATTTCATCCCTTTCAACTAATAAATAGTGCTTTCTTATCAATATGGGGGCAAAACCGTGATTTAGCACTGCGACGTTTCCTGGGCATTTTTTTTTTGGAGAGTCCTTGAAATCCCTTACTTAATCATAAGTTAACAAAGGACAGGTCTGTGAGACTGAAAGCCACAGTTGTACACCTGAGGATTAAAAAATCTGCGCTTATAGAATAATTTAAATACATGTCAATTAACTCAGCAGTTGGGTACCCTTGGGGCCAAAATAGTTTCGGTTGTAAGTCATAGAACCCACTGAAGGAATTTTCGAGATTCTGCCATCGTGCGTCAATAGCGCAAAGATAGTTTTGCGACAAGCATTTGAAAACAACAACAATCATATGT